ACATTGCAAAGGGAAAAACTTGCAGCCCACTGGGCCAGGCAGTGCTAAGATCCATGACTTTGCTGATTTATACAAAAAATAACCAGTACATAGGAGAAAGAAGCTTAAGATGATGTTTCGGCCGTCATTGTGATTAGGTAAAGTAAAAGGACGCAAGTGCAAATAATGTGACATTTTTATTGTGGCAACGTCTCGCTCTCCAGGAGCTTTGTCAAGCCGTTACAAACAGTACATGGACACAGCAAGAAACCTCGACACTAGCTTCAATGAACACATTTATGCATGTAGGAACGATAACATGAACAACGCCTTGTAGATGAATGGTTCAAAGAACCGACACGTTGATAAATTAGACACATGCGCAACTCTTGAGTATCTTTATTGAGGAAACGTTTCGCCACACAGTGGCTTCATCAGTCCATACAAAGGATAAACTTGAAGAACAGGAGGAGAATGAGGTAATCAGTCCCTCAACCTTGAGTCAATGTGGTCAGTCCATCAATCTTGAATAGAATACGGCATATGGGCGGAGAAGCAGCTTATAAACCGTAGACAGGAGAGGTGCAGCAGTCGTAGGTGGTGTCACATTTGTCCAATGTGGAAGTAGGTCGTGCTCAAGGGTTAGGCAAGCGAAGAATTCCCAAAGTATTAAGATCCCAAGAAGTTGCAGTGTCTGACAGGATTGTAGATGACACTGCAACTTCTTGGGATCTTAATACTTGGGAATTCCTCGCTTGCCTAACCCTTGGGCACGACCTACTTCCACATTGGGCAAATGTGAGACCACCTACGACTGCTGCACCTCTCCTGCCATACGGTTTATAAGCTGCTTCTCCGCTCATATGCCGTATTCTATTCAAGATTGATGGACTGACCTCATCGACTACCTCATTCTCCTCCTGTTCTTCAAGTTTATCCTTTATATGGACTGATGAAGCCACTGTGTGGCGAAACGTTTCTTCAATAAAGATACCCAAGAGTTGCACATGTGTCTAATTTAACAACATGAACAACGCCTGTGTACAACACCGAAATTCCACCAATCATCTCATGAAATTCAGAGACGCCCAACTAGTGATCAAAGAAACGAATTTCCGCAGACGCAAGTGCCTGGAATCTTCACTAATAGCTGTTTCTAATACAATTAAACAAAACAAAGGCAGCTTCACCATCTCCGAAGTCTTAGCAAGAATCCTCCTGAAAACAGTAAACCCTGCCATCACGTAGTCTCTCCTGTTATACTACACAAAGCACATTACAGAGAGTGAACACTGAAACAAGCTGCCTCTATCCAGCCTTCAATAGAAATATTTGTCTAACCTATTTTTATGTTTCCCAAGTAATAGCTTTTATATCCTTTACTCATGTGCAAGTTAATTGTTCTGACATATTGTATTACTACTACTACTACTACAACTTATGTCACTACAACTACTACTACAACTTATGTCACTACTACTACTACTACAACTTATGTCACTACTACTACTACTACAACTTATGTCACTACTACTAATACTACAACTTATATCATTACTACTACTACTACTACCACTAGTATTGCACCTCACTCTGAGCCTATATATACCCTCTGTGTCCATGTACTGTTTGTAGCGGCTTGACAAAGCTCCTGGAGAGCGAAACGTTGCCACAATAAAATGTCACATTAGTTGCAATTGTGTCCTTTTACTTTACAGGATGATGATAGGTGGACGGAAGTGTGTCGCTCTAACTCATTGACAAGTTATGAAAGTCCAAGCGAAGTTCTTTTCGTATTATTCTTGGTAGAAGCAGCAGTCTTCACAGATGCTGGTCCACTTATGTCTTTGCCTATCTCTCTTCACCTAGCAGTTAGACGTTGCCTATGGATCTGCATCCTGGTGGTGGACATTTCTCTAATAAGAGGGACCACGCTTCAGGGTCCACGCTTCAGGGACCACGCTTCAGTGATCACGCTTCAAGGATCACGCTTCAGGGACCACGCTTCAAGGACCACGCTTTTTCTCATGGACTTTATTTTTGGAATTATATTTTTAGAATTTCTACATGGTGAAGTGGAGCAGAATTCTTCCTCCGCAAGTCATGCGTGTCGTAAGAGGCGACTAAACTGCCGGAAGAAAGCGGCTAGTAACCACTTCTCCTGTACAAATTACCAATTTTTGAAGAGAAACTTTCGTTTTTTGTTTTAGGTCACCCTGCCTCGGTGGAATGCAGCCGGTTTCTTGAAATTAAAAACAAAAAAACTAATGCTTGACTGCTCCGGTTAGTAATCTACTCCTTTCTTGAAATCATATGGTTTTGCAAATTTATTAGTTATATTATGCATGTGAAGACTATTGGGGGGGTGAAAAAAACACATGTGCAAATTGAATCATTTTAAACGTACAAGCCACTTGGTTTCTCAGTCCCTATAGGAGCTTGAAGACGAAATTTTCCGTTTTTCCCTCAACCTTGGTCTTTTTTTAATTAATTTACTCACTTGCTTTAATAGCTATTAACCTCATTTCCTCCTTTTCCCAAATCCACGTTATGATTAAAATGTCGAACCCTTCCCCTTCCCGTGCCTGTTCCATATTTATCAACAGTGGTTCCTACCCCAAATTTAAAAATATTGGGGTTCTTGAAAACCCCCAATAAATGCTCAAAGCCTGGAAGGACGCATGGAGGCTTTGCTCCACACCAATTCCGGGTTTTTTCCAACCATAAACCTTGGTTTTTCCTATCACCTGTTCCCTGTTTAACCCCTCATTTTCAAAAATTTTTTGTGTTAGTACTACTTTCTTCCTGGACCATAATGCTAATTCCCACAGATTCCCCGTGTTAAAGAGGGTTTCTGAAAAAATAATGTCATTGGGAAGCAAACTTTCGGTTAACCTTGTTCATTACGGGGGGAAAATTCTTTTTAAAATTTTTTATTTTAATTAAAATTATTGTTAATTTTATTTATTTAATTTATTTAACCCGCCAACCAAAAAATTTTTATTCAGCGGGGTCCTTTTTTTCGTAAAAAACTTTTTTTTTTTTTTTTTTCCCCCAATAAAGTATCTTTTAGAGATGGTGGAGATAACTTCCAAACTTGTATTTTTCTGGGATAACTTCCCTGAGTATTTCAAATGTCTGAATTACTGAGCGTCGGTGACCATATTTGTAGGTTTTGTTTAATCTTCTAACGTCTATAAAACATTCAAATGTCAAAAGACTATCTTACTAAATTTCCTGTCAGCTCCTTAACATGATTCTCATTTTCAAAAGAGTATCAACTGTGTTAGAGACCTCCGATTTAATTTCTAAAAAACTTAGGAACACTACCATTAATTTTATTGACCTCTTCAGCCAAAATCGTCTCCATCTTAATTGGTGTCACATTCTTATGTGACCGTGACAAGTTTAACACCTAGTAATAACCCCAAAACATCATTAAAAAACCCAAATTTTTCTCTCAGCTTTCCTTAACTTTTTCAGGGCCACGCCTCCATGAAAATCTTTAAATTAGAAAGGGTTTTTTGGTTTAAACTTAATTCCTTAATGAAGAAAAAATTAGGGATACACTTTTTCACGGGTAAAGCTTTCTTGCTTTTTTTACAAATCATCGTTAACTTTTTATTTCTAAGACATTCATATTGTCACAAACACCACATTTCCCTGAAAAAAACTACCCCCCCCTCAACAATATAGAAGCGTTAAAAACTGACATGTAAATCTCTTGATTGAAAAGCACAAAATAACACGATCAGTTATGTTCATAAATTTTTTCACAGACATTCATGTTGATTTTATTATTATATCTGTGACCTTTAGAATTTTTCAGTGAGGGACACAGCGCGTCCGTCTCACGCACAAGATTGGATAAACCTTGGTAATAAACCCCCGAAAATTTTTTTAGAAGAAACAAAGCAAACACTGGACATATTTATTAAAAAATTTTTTCGGTCCTGAGACCTGACACTTCTAAATGTTCTATGTTTTTGACTTTTTTTTTAAAAGAAAAAAGTAGATGCAAGACTTGCCAGCAAAGCACCACTGATTTTTATTTTTTAGTAAAGACTACTACTAATGGTTCATTAGTGTTAACGTACCACGAAGTATTGTTTATTTAACGTACCACTGAAATGGGTTGTATTAGTTTAACGTCCATTTAAGTGGTTTTTATTAGGTTAACGTCCCCTGAAGTGGGGTTTTATTAGTGTTAACGTACCCTGAAGTGGTTGTATTTGTGTTAACGTACCACGAAGTGGGTTTTATATTTTTTAAGGAAAAACTGAATGGGTTTTATTGTTAAGGACCACTGAAGTGGGTTTTATTAGTGTAACGTACCAGAAGGGTTGTTTATGTTAAGTCCACTGAATTGGGGGGTATAGTGTAACGTACCTGAAGTTTGTATAGTTTAAATACCACGAATTGGTTGTATTTGTGTTAACGTACCACTGAAGTGGTTTATTAGTGTTAAGTACCATGAAAATGGTTTATTAGTTTAACGTACCACTGAAGTGGTTTATTAGTGTTAACGACCACGAAGTGGTTTTATTAGGTTAACGTACCACTGAAGTGGTTTTTTTATGTTAAAGTACCACTGAAGGGTTTTAACCTGTTAAGTACCCAAGAAAAATGGGTTTTATAGTTTAAATACCATGAAGTGGTTTTATATGTTAAAAGTACCCCGAAATGGTTGTATTATGTTAACGACCACTGAAGTGGGTTTTATTAGGTTTTAAATACCCCCTGAAGTGGGTTTGAATCCCCTGGGGGTTTAACGTACCCCTGAAGTTTGATAGGGGTTAACGTCCACTGAAGTGGGGTTTTATATGTTAACGTACCACTGAAGTGGTTGTATTAGGTTTAAAGTACCACGAAGGGTTGTATTATGTTAACGTACCATGAAGGGTTTTTATAATGTTAACGTACCCCCTAAGTGGGGTTTATTAGTGTTAACGTACCACTGAAGTGGTTGTATCACTGTTAACGTACCACTGAAGTGGTTGTATCACTGTTAACGTACCACTGAAGTGGTTGTATCACTGTTAACGTACCACTGAAGTGGTTGTATTAGTGTTAACGTACCACTGAAGTGGTTGTATCACTGTTAACGTACCACTGAAGTGGTTGTATTAGTGTTAACGTACCACTGAAGTGGTTGTATTAGTGTTAACGTACCACTGAAGTGGTTGTATCACTGTTAACGTACCACTGAAGTGGTTGTATCACTGTTAACGTACCACTGAAGTGGTTGTATCACTGTTAACGTACCACTGAAGTGGTTGTATCACTGTTAACGTACCACTGAAGTGGTTGTTAACGTTAAGTAGCACTGAAGTGGTTTTTAACACTGTTAACGTACCACTGAAGTGGTTGTATCAAGGGTTAACGTACCACTGAAGTGGTTGTATCACTGTTAACGTCCCACTGAATGTGTTTGTTTTCACTGTTAACGTACCACTGAAGTGGTTGTATCACTGTTAACGTACCACTGAAGTGGTTGTATTAGTGTTAACGTACCACTGAAGTGGTTGTATCACTGTTAACGTACCACTGAAGTGGTTGTATCACTGTTAACGTACCACTGAAGTGGTTGTATCACTGTTAACGTACCACTGAAGTGGTTGTATCACTGTTAACGTACCACTGAAGTGGTTGTATCACTGTTAACGTACCACTGAAGTGGTTGTATCACTGTTAACGTACCACTGAAGTGGTTGTATTAGTGTTAACGTACCACTGAAGTGGTTGTATCACTGTTAACGTACCACTGAAATGATTGTATTAGTGATAACGCTCCAATAATGAGTCACACTGATGTAGTTATATTCGTGATGATTCAGCATCATTGAGTCTCCACGGTGGTGATGACATTAGTGAATCATACGAACAATATCCAGTCACCACCACAGTGGTTGTGTTAGTTGTGAGTTACCTTTGAAACTGAGTAACCACAACAGTGGTTTCAATAACACTGACCAACTTGCAAAACCGAGTCAGATCATAATGACTGAATTAGTGTTGATTTATTAAAAACTTTGGATCGGAAGTTATAACTTTCCATTACCACAGAGTTAATACTAGTATAACTATAGTAGTCATGACTTACCAACAACATTGACGAAGAAAGTTCTTGAATCAGCACCGTAGCGGTTGGATGCCTGGCAGGTGTAGACGGCAGCGTGGGCGCGGCTGATGGAAGTAATCATCAAGACTGAGACTTTCCCAGCCTCCTCCATCCTCACTTCCATCTCTGATGATCCTCCACCTGTACAGCAGTACCAGGTACCAAGCAGAAGCACATAAAATAAGGCGAGCACATTCTGATTTCATTTTTGTTTATTTTTTCAAATATGTCACTGTCTTAAATTTAGCATTCTCGAATCTGCAAAGTTTTCAACCCATATTATTTCCTTAAGTGTATATAAGGACAGGATAATGTGATTAATCTTATGCACATATTGCTCGCAGTCATGCACGGACACCCATTAAACCTACAAGTTTCAGGGAGGTGATATTAACCTGAGCTCTGAGTGTGTAAGATAAAAATAACATTCTTCTTGACTACCTCTCTCTCGCTTACGCTCACTGCAGAAGTTTAGTAAATAACGATATAAGATGTGGGGGTTATTTTTCCCATAAATATCTGTACACATAGTAATGATTTTTTAAATTATACATAATAATACAAACTAATAAAATGAACAGATGGGTGATCTGATCCCATGTGCTGAACGCCTATTGTATATCCCTCCTTGAGAAGGAGGGATATACAGTAGGTGTCCATCCTGGGGTCAGTTAAGTACCGAGTTATTTACTATCGTGATAAGTGACTGGACTCAGGAGCTGAACGTCTTTCCTTCCTCAAATAGTCTATAATGTGGCAATGTTAAACAATGAACAATAGACATTTTGTTAAAAAAATGTGTTTTAGTGATTTCAGTTTAGAGAGTGTCAGAGTGAGAGTAGTTTAGCGTGAAGTAAAAAAATATTACGACCAGATATACTGAGGTGCAATGAGAAGCTTATGCTAAATGAATCACTTACCCGGTATGGGAGCAGCATCCCGGGCCCAGGTGAAGGCGAGAGGCAAGTCTCCCCTGGCTGCACATCTCAAAGCTAGACTCTCACCCACAGCGACAGACTCATTTACCACACGTTCCTCTATGCGGGCGCCCTCTGCCATCACCACACCCACAGGTTAGAATTTTTTTTATTAGATAATATGAAAATTGTATTAATGTTGGTAGAATTGCCAACAATATGTTAGGTAAAAGGACACAAGTACAACTAATGTGACATTTTATTTTGGCAACGTTTCGCTCTTCAGAAGCTTTATCAAGCCGTTACAAACAATACATGGATACACAGGGTATATATAGGCTTAGAGAGAGGTGTAATAGCTGTAGTACTAGTGGTAGAAGTTGTATTACAACTAATTACACCTCACTCTGAGGCTATATATACCATCTGTGGCGATGTGGTGTTTGTAACGGCTTGATAAAGCTCCTGGAGAGCCAGAAGTTGCCACAGTAAAATTGCACATTAGTTGCACTTGTGTCCTTTTTACCTAACATGATAATTATTTACTAGTCTGTATGAAGTTTTTTTTATATAATTATAGTTTTTAGAAATTTTCGTAATTTTCCAACCCATTAGTTTTCTGTTTCTCTTCCGTGCTCCATTATGTTGGATTATTACATCAAAACAAACAATTTTGATAGGAAATGGACAAGGCTTGTTAACTCACCCAGGACAGAGAGCGATATTGTCTTGGAGATGGCCGGATTTACACCGTTATTAGCGTGACAAAGGTAACGCCCACTGTCCTCAGCTCGGGCGTCTCGGATCCTGAGAGAGCCGGCTAGTGGTGTCTGCAGCCTCCATCCGTCACCCACCAAAGCTGAAGATTCTTCCGTCCCACCACCATCTGCAGAACACCTCCATCACTAAAGGAATTATATCAAGGCGAACTCATCTGCGTCTTACACAAATAACCGCAAATAGAAGAGAGAGAGAGAGAGAGAGAGAGAGAGAGGAGAGATGAGGAAGCAGAGAGGAGAGAGAAGAAGATGGAGAGAGCTGAAAAGAGAGAGAGAGGCAGGCAGGCTTTTGACCTGTATATGGTCCAGGTCGGACTGAAAGGTCGTCATAAGCCTCTCGTCATAAGCGGGTTATTTGTGTTTTGTTACCGTCACGGTATAGTGCCTTTTTGTTCTTCATCTGTAACACTAACATTTTGTGCACCTCGGTGAATGTTATATCAGGGAGATGTGTTCCATGTTAACTCCAGTTGTAGGTCATCTTGTCCACTTAGGAAGAGTTAAATCCAAACAAATCACTGATATCCCACATACAGAAAGGAAACTTCATGAAATATTCCGACGCGCCCTGAGTTATCGTCTGATCACAACTAAGAATTGTAACTAGATAAATGTTTAGGAAATAGTGAAATGTTATCTAAATTTTCCACTAGAAAGTGAGGGACATTTTGGTTTCTACCTTATTAACATAAGGGCATAAAAATCAAGGGCATAAAAAATGCCCCTGATTTTCGGAACGAATATCAAGTTATTATCGCTGATGCTTTCCCGAACCTAACTGTCAAGTTGCTAATTACATTAGCCAGTCTGAGGCACTAACACGGAATATATCCAAAATAAGTTGATCAACAGTTGCACTGGAGATTTAGTCAAGTATGTCACCGTGAACCTCTAGAAGAGAACACGCACGAAGGAACTTGAGAGTGGACCCCCAAGGTAGATGTACATTGGATAACAGAACGACCAAGATTGAAGGCAGAACTCAAGGGAAAATATACCTGGAGTGGAAAGTATCTCACCTTGTAGCACAACACAAGGTAGAAGGATATTTGAAATTGGGAATACCTAACACTGCGGTAAAGCAGTGCCTCGCTTGGTGGCAGACAACAAGGAAGAAACCAGTGAAGCAGAGTACCTGGCGTGATGGTACAGCACAAGACAGAGATACCAGACAGTGAGTTCCTCTATAGAGAATATCTAAATTTCATTACGTATTCCTCGAAAAGTTGTACCACTAGTGGTTGCTTTATTTATCTTTTCCTCTATTTTTTTTTTTACACACATCAGTTTTACAGGCTAAGAGCCATTATCATAACTCAGCTCACTTCAAAGTCCAACCCTATCGATGATATTCTACCACCCACTTGGATGCGACCCACAACAGTCGTTAAACATCCAGGTACTTACTTACTGTTAGGTGAACAAGGGCAGCAAACGTGAGAAAACATGCCCAACGTTTCTACCTGTACCGGAGACTGAGCCAGAGACACTCAGTATATTAGCTGAGTGTGCTGCCAACCGTATGTACACCACGAGCTATATTATAAAATGGTACGCTGCCAGAAAAACTAACAAAATCCAAACAACCTAACTGGTAAACCCTCCTTCCTTTTTATCAACATCAACATTCATGGTTTAGCAAAAAAAAAAAAAGTATATAAGTTGGTAAAAAAGATTTAAGAGATACATTGTTGATATAAAGATGGCATATACAGTACATGAGATGTGAGAGATACATGTCTAGTACATATTGTTATGTGTTTGTTACTGATTATAATGCGAAAATCTCATCCAGCTCCTCAGACCTCGGGCGGTGCCCAAAATACAGCAGCCATTACCCTTCTGAACAGCAGCACTGAGTCGCTGGAACAGAGAACTAGCTGCCCTGGGATCCCTAGTTACCCTGATGAGTTTTTTGCCTAGCTCCATAAGAGACTTAGATGCACTCTTCCCCCATGAGCCAAGAATCTCTGAGCCTATGGGAAGAAACATATAATGATAGGCAAGTTCTCTGTATTTTCTAGACTGGATGCTTTTGGCTGCCATCAGATTTGCATAGCTGGGATGGCTCCCTCACTGCTGGGCACCCGGCTGTTGTGAATCTCCTCTTGATAATTAACCTCCTCATGTCTTGCATTCTTTCCCTCGGATTTACGGCACACAAGACCATGGTACCCAAATTGGTCTGCTGCTTCACTGCCACAAATACACCTGTGTTCGGCGAGAATAGGGGCGGCAAGTCGAAGGGCAACACCAGTGCGGATGGTCTGTGGGTCAAGGCATGTGCCAAGGCTGGAGTTGGGAACAGCCAACAGAAAGTCCCCTGCATGAGGAGCTCACTGTCAGGATGCAGGCTCTGTCCTTCCTTGTCACACTCTGAAGCATTGTTGAGGATATTCCCCACTATGGACCTCCCAGTGCGGCTGTAATAGTGGGGCGAGCAGGTTTGGTTTCAGAGCCGTTAGTTTATCCAGATCATGGCTTTGTCAATGAACTTTTGGCCCAAATGAATTTCCCAAATCTTGTCCCTAAGATGTTGGGGAGAGTCGCTGACAACAAGCTCTTGGATGCAAACGCATGAGGAGAAAAAAGCAGGTAGCGCAATCTGTGATGACTTGCGGGCAGCAACGCCTCCTAGTCTGACTGGAAGTGTAGCTTGGTTCCACTTCCCATCTTCTAGAAGGGAAATTCTTTCGTAAAAATCTGCCTCAGGATATGTCATATTCGTGCAGTATAGGGTTATCATATGAAGGTGCACATCTTAGGAAATATGTCGACCTGGGCAGACTCAAGCACTTTGTGAGGAGGTACATGGCATTGTGAGTGCCAAGATTGCCTATTCGTTTTTCCATTCTCCTCATCGCTTTCCAGAGGTGCTTCAAGCAAGATGCTATTTGTGGGCACAATGACTGATGCTCCTGGTAGTTTTGATCTCACTGCATCTATCACTTGTTGATTTCCTGAGATGATTTCACATTTGGATGGATTCAGAATGAGACCCATTTCCTGTCCCCATGTCATCACCAGTGTAAAATCATCTGGAAGGGATTCCTTTGTAGCTGCTAGTGTGCCATCATCCAGGAACCAGATGTTTTGCTCACTGGTCAGCCTGACTGTGATTTCCCTAACTGCTGTTCAGATGAGAAATGGTGCGAGAGGATCCCCTTGCTGGACATCCTCTGATGATGTGTTTTCATGCTCTCCAAACAGAAGCATTGATTCCTTTCTATATCCAGCTAAACAAGAAGGGAAGAGTCCACTTCTAATACCACATCTCTTTTCAGGAGATCAAATGCATTCTTGAAGTCTAATTTTACCACTGCAATGTCCTCAGGTAGGTTGTTGATATACGCCCTTGTTGCATGAACCGCTGCTTCACTTCCTTGAGAGACCCCAAGCCAAGCTGGTTTGGTTGAAGCATCATGGCTGCCTGTGCACGAATACTTCAGACGGCAGTTTTGGAAACAAGGTGGTGAAAAGTGTTGCCCATTGCAATTGACCTGATTCCTCCATCCTTCTTTTTAAAGGCACAAAGTGAGGCACAAAAAAAAATATTTAATTTCGCCAGGAATCAGACCAGCCAAGGAATTGTTGACGAACCTTGTGATCTCTGAAAGTAGTGTCTTTGCACTCTCCCCATATAAATGGATTAACCATTTTCCTTTAAATGCTGTGGCCTTATTCCAGTGAAATCCCCAGCAGAGCCAGACACAAATGACATTATTGCTTTGTAAATGTCCGAGTCTTGCACAATCAATGGTTCCACAGTGGGGACAGAGGTGTTGGAACTGTTGGTGCCCCTGGTTTCCCTGGTAGGGTGCTTTCCTCTAAGTGCTTCAGCAGTAGCAGCATCCCTGGGGGCAACTGTATCTTCACTTGTGTTAATTTTCATTGCCCCCACTGTGTTGCCCTCTTCAGTTTTCTTGCTCGCTTGTACTTTGATTTTTTCTCTGTCAGTGGAGCGATTGGGGGTTCTCTCTCTCCCATTTTTGTACTGATGGGGAGGCGAATGAGGTTATCAGATCTAGGAAAGTGTCTTAAGGATTTAATTATCATTGAAGCTAACCTCTTTCCCCTTCATTCCAGCATAGCTAAGCAGACATTGCCAAAAAGTAGCAAGCTGTGTCATGCCTTGATGGTTGGTGGAACATTTACGATAGTGGAACCATTGTTTACTTTTTTAAGAGGCTTGTAATTTTCCCAGCTGCGTGTGGACGGGCTGCTTTGGGAATATGTGTGAGTGTCCTCGTACCTGTTGCTTTAATTGCTTCCAAGACATTGTCTGATGAAATGAGATCAGTTGGAGTGGGTTCAGGTGCCCGAGGTGGCTCTGAATCATCACTTTCCACAGAAGGACATCCTGAACCAGGGCAGCTACCGTGTTTGAGGAGGAAATCATTAGAGTTGAGACCATGAAGCTGTAAGCATGACCGGCACTTGCCTCTCCTAGTATTGCCAGCCGTGCCATTTCCCTGGCTACTCGCTTCCTCCTGATTGGCATCCATCTGGCTAACTACACTGCAGGAGTGGAGTCCGACATGCTGGGTGGGTAGGGTGCATAGAAGGTAGTGAACTTGACCATGGTGGCCTGGAGGGGATTGAGGGGCTTGTGAAGGGCTGGAAGGGGAGGGGGAGATGCAAGTTGTTGGGTGGGGGAGATGCAAGTTGTTGGGTGGGGGAAACGCAGGTTGATGGGTGAGGGGAGTACACATGAACTTGCACACTATTGTTTACACTGTCTTACAATGCACAGCATTATTCGTTTCCCATGTACATTATGAAAGATGTGGGTATGAGCACTGCTGAACCCATGTATCTTCAATCACCTACACACAGCGTCTCTTCCTCCCACCCCCGTGGCCTGGGAGAGGCAGCACTGACTGGTCACTCCCTCGTTAACATTAATCCCACACTGTGTTTCCATAACATATGCCTCTAATTATTACATTCATCGACACATAATCATTTCTAAGTTAACTGGAAGCACGACGCGTGGTGCTGGAGGTGGATGTTTTGTGAGAGCTTTTGGAGGTTCGTATATACGATAATCTTGGCCGGTACTGACACACAGTGTAGGTCTTACTCTCCCCCACCCCCACTGGCCGTC